AGAGAGATTACACTCCTTACAGCTCGTCTCACTCATGCTCTTCTTCACGTCTCCTGCTAACCAGCAACAGGTAACATAAGCAGGCATAATACAGCGTAATCCTCGCATCGCATTAGAGCACCGAAGATTTCGAGGCAACGCGTGCGTCCCTTAAATAAAATTGAAGTTGTGCGCCTGCTGGAGGTGCTTCGCACTGCCGTCATGATGTTTTGATGATGTGTAGTTGGTGACCTGCGCTGAGGTGCTCTGTCCGGTACTGCTCATGGCTGTCCTCGGGGCTCTGCACTCTCAGATCGTGTCGACGCACCACGCTAAGGCAAAGACAACCCCGACCAGCACAAAGACAAGGTGAGTGTTACGTGTGTGTGTGTGCGTGTGTGCGCGCGTGCGTGTGTGTGTGCGTGCATAGTGTGCGTGCGTGCGTCCGCCGTGTGCGTGCGTGCGTGCGCGCGTGCGTGTGTGTTGTGGCATGCACATAGGTTGGGGGGGGGCACTTGCAGCAAATAATCTGGGATGATTTGTACATAAGGAGTACCTTCTGTGAGTTTTAGTCCTCTAGCAGCATATTTGAAGGCAGCTAATATAATCTGGACTCTTGCTGTGCGTATGTTGGAATTTTCGCGTCAGTCTCTGCTGGTTAGTTGCTGCGGCGGGTTGTGCATTATAACGGTGTATGTGTGCAGGCGTTCTCTGTCTTTATTTGTTATGACGTGTTCCGGAATTTCAGACACCTTCCTCACAGAGCAGGAAGTCCTCCTCGAGTGGCACCAGCCGACGAAAGAAGGGCGGCGCGGCTCTCTCCTCACAGGATGCATCGCAGAGCTGAGGTGAGCGAAGGTATGGGCAGGATGAAGGAGTATGCAATCGGATTGTGCGCAATTGCAGTATTGGAAATGTATGAGTGATGCTGAGAATGTACAGGAGAAATGATGAATCGGTGCTGGAACACACAAGGAGAATGGTATTGAGTGGTGTCGGAATTGTTTTACAGGAGAATGTATGAGTGGTTTCTGGAATAGTACAGGAGAATTAAATGAGTGGTGCTGGAATGTACACGGAGAATGTGAATGAGTGGTTATTTGGAATGCTACGTGCAGAATGTATTGAGTGGATGGCTGGAATGTAGCAGGGAGATATGTGGTTAGTGGCTGCATGGATGTACAGGAGAATCTATCGAGTGGTGCTTGGAACACACAGCATGAATGTATGAGTGGGTGCTGGAATACTACAGGAGATATGTATGAAGTGTTTCTGGAGATGATACAGGAGAATGTCATGATGTGTGGAAACACCACAGCAGAAGTATGTGTGGTGCTGGAATGTACAGAGAATGTGATGAGTGCGTTGGCTAGAATGTACAGGAGAATGTATGCAGTGCGTTTCTGGAAATGTACAGGAGAATGTATGAGTGCGTGCTAGAATGTACAGGAGAAATGTGTGAGTGGGTCTAGGAATGCTACAGGAGAATGTATGAATGCGTTCCTGGAACTGTACAGGAGAATCTAATGACTATGAGTGGATTCTGGAATGTACATGAGAATGAGTGAGTGGTGCTGGATATGTACAGGAGAATGGTGTGAGTGCTGCTTGGAATGTTAGCAGTGAGATTGTGAGTTGGTGCTGCAATACACAGGAGAATATGAATGTGCTGCGAATGTACAGGAGAATCTATGATTGAGTGATGCTGGAACGACACATTAAGGATGTATGAAGTGGTGCTGGATATACAGGAGAATGTATGAGTGTGTGCTGGAATGTACAGCGAAGAATGTTATGAATGGTGCTGCTGGAATGTACAGGAGAATGTATGAGTTGGTGCTGGAAGTGTACAGGCAGATGTTATGATGGTGCTGGAATGCTAGCTAGCGAGATATGTATGAGCTGGTTCTGGAATGTAGTAGAGAATGTATGAGTGGTGCTGGAAATGTACAGGAGGAAATGTCATGGTGGTGCTGGAAACACACAGAATGTATGAGTGTGCTGGAATGTTACAGGATGAAGAGTCGGGAATTAGAATGCTATGAGTAGGTGCTGGATGTACAGGAGAATGTATGAGTGCGTCTGGGACTGGAAGATATTGGTCGGAAGTCAGATGTATAGCTGGTTCTGGAATGTACAGGAGAAATGTATGAGTGGTGCTGGAATGTACAGCGAGAATGTAATGAGTGGTGCTGGAATGTACAGGAGGAATGTATGTAGTAGCGGCTGGAGCACACAGGAAATGAATGAGTGCGGGCATTGACATGCAGGCATGAGTTGGCCTGGAACATAGCATCAATGTATGTAATTAGGATGCGATAGACGTGAGAATCGTAGTATGAGAAGTATTGTGTGTTACGAAATATATAGGAGAAGGATGTGTCAAGATTTATGAATTTAGGGCTGAAAAGAATGTATTTCGATCGTCCTATTCATTAACATCACTATGTAAAAGCGTGATAGTTAACACTGGGATTCTCCAGCCAACTAATTATGGCGAATCGTATGTTTTTGTCTTAGCAGGTTTTACAGGAAGCGTACCGGATTTCGCAGTTCTCGAACCAAGGTGATTAAGGAATTCACCATCAAAGGGTGGATGCCGCAGCAATATGATACTGAAACGGTAGAGAAATTTTTACTTTCGCTGCAACCAACTGGTAGCGCTTCAAAGTACAATTAAATTATGATCTACTAACGATTCGTGTTTTCATTAGGCTAAACAAAAAAATACCTTTGGTTCGGGTAACATGGATTGTGAAAATTGGTAGGTTAGTAGGTATAAATTCATTTTTTATTTTTGTTTTTCTTGCCAAAAACGTGGGTAGGCAGGAATACTAATTTTTTTTTCACAAGTTAAATATAGGAATATAGGGAATTAAATTTGAACAGCGACGTAAACCGAAGTGTCAGACGGCTCGCGGGCCGCGTTATAGCCGATAAGCAATGCGTATACTATATCTACTACGCGATGATCTCGTACAATCCAATAGCCGGCGCGCACCCATACGACCTTCAGCTAGGCTCTTTATGACGTAGGCGGCCACAGAGGCTCTATACGACTGTTTCAACGTTGTAAAGGAAAAATATTTTGGAACTCTCTTTAGGTATAAAATGAACAAGAGTCGCGATTATTTGAATATGTATGATCGGCATCTTTGAATTTTATTTTTTCTTGAAAACCCTCTAAAAGTGACCGCCAGTCGCACGATTTTTCACTCCGCGAAATGTGAAGTGCTGGGCCGGGTGGATGACCCGAACCAAGAGGTAATATTTTTGGTCGGCCTTATTAGTGTTGTTTTCTGCATCGACTAGTAGGCTTCCTACTTTAATTTAGATTATCATCTACCAATGATTCGTGTTTTCTGGAGTATTCTAGCTGCACATAGCTATCTCATCTACTTACTATTCCTCGATTTTTGTCACGTAGGCCAGTGAGCTCATTTGGAAGAGCTCCTAATTAGAAGACCTAATGAATTGTTGACCCAGACTTGCATCTATACACGTCAAAAACATTCTGGTCGTCACGAGTTAGCGGGTTACCCCGCCGCCAAGCTCTGTAATTATCGTCGGGGCTTGTACTCTTCGGTGTGCGTGTCGCAGGAACAGAAGTCAAACATCGACTCAGGACAGGAGTCTGGAGAAAGGATGCTGGCGAAGACGTGTGGCTTCATGGAGAGCAGTAGTGAGATGGATGCTGGGCGTGGGTTTGAGCAGGTGAGATGGATGCTGGGCAGGTGAGATGGATGCTGGGTAGTGGGTTTGAGCAGGTGAGATGGATGCTGGGTTTGAGCAGGTGAGATGGATGTGGGTTTGAGCAGGTGAGATGGATGCTGGGTAGTGGGTTTGAGCAGGTGAGATGGGAATTCTACTAACAGAATTCGTGTTTTCATTAGGCTAAACAAAAAAATACCCTTTGGTTCGGGTCAACATGATTGTGAAAATTGGTGGTAGTAGGTATAACATAGTACATTTTTTATTTTGTTTTTCTTGCCAAAAAACGTGGGTAGCGCAGGAATACTTAATTTTTTTTTCACAAAGTTAAATATAGGAATATAGGGAATTATATTTGAACAAGCGAGTAACCGAAGTGTCAACGGCTCGCGGGCCGCGTTATAGCCGATAGCACTGGTATACTATATACTACGCGATGATCTCGTACAATCAAAAGCCGCGCGCGCTCCGCTACGACCTATCACGCTAGGCTTCTTTTATTGACAGTAGGCGGCCACAGGGCTCTATACGACTGTTTCACGTTGTAAAGGAAAAATATTTTGGAACTCTCTTTAGGTATAAAATGAACAAGAGTCGCCGATATTTGAATATGTATGATCGGGCATCTTTGATTTTATTTTTTCTTGAAAACCCTCTAAAGTGGACCGCAGTCGCCCACGATTTTTCACCTCCGCAAATGTGAAGTGCGGGCCGGGTGGAGACCCGACCAAGGGTAATATTTTTGGTCGGCCTTAAGAATGTATGAGTGGTGCTGGAATGTACAGGAGAATGTATGAGTGGTGCTGGAATGTACAGGAGAATGTATGAGTGGTGCTGGAATGTACAGGAGAATGTATGAGTGGGGCATTGGACATGCAGTGTATGAGTTGGCTGGAACATACACAGGAGAATGTATGAATTAGGATGGATAGTATGTGAGAATGTAGTATGAGAAGGTATTGGTGTGTTAGAATATATAGGAGAAGATGTGAGCAGATTTATGAATTTAGGCTGAAAAGAATGTATTTGTCGTTTGTAGGCTGATAAAGAAAAATTATAAGAGAGTGGGTTGGAGTATGAAGGGGAAGATAAATATAGCTGTTGCCCTTCTACTCTGATCCTTGTAACTATACTGATATGCCATCGTCTATCATTACATCATTATGTAAAAGGTGATATTAACACTGGGATTCTCCAGCAAACTAATTATGGAATCGTATGTTTTGTCTTACAGGTTTACAGGAAAGCGTTCCGATTCCAGTCTTCGAACCAAGGTGATTAAGAATCACCATCAAAGGGTGGATGCGCAGCAATATCGATCTGAAACGGTGAGAATTTATTATTTCCTGCACCAACTGGTAGGCTTCAAAGTACAATTAAATTATATATGATTCTACTAACTCGAATTTGTCGTTTCCCACTTAGTGGTTTGCTGCATTCGAGACTAGTAGGCGCTTTCCTACTTTAAATTTAGAATTATCATCTACGCAATGATTCGTGTTTTTTGGAGTGTCTAGCTGCACATAAGCTATCTCATCTACTTACCTATTGCCATCGATATTTTGTCAACGTAGGGCCTAGTGAGCTCATTTGTGAAGAAGCTCCTAATTAGAAGACCTGAATGGAATTGTTGACCCGAGACTTGCGCATCTGTACACGTTCAAAAGCATTTACTTTTGGTCAGTCACGAACTGTTTAGCGGGGTCCGCGTGTACCCGCTCGCCAAGCCTTCTGTAATATAATATCGTTTCTGCGGGCTCCCCATCTGTACTTTGATTCGCTAGCACGGTGCGACCGACATCCGCGTTACTGCTAACCCTACGGCAGTGATACACCGGTGAGGCTCTAAGGTCACGACCGCTTCAGGTAAGGCGTCCCGGACCGTTAGACCGGAGCATGATCATACGCTATTGCGCGTGCATGGCTTATGTTGTTCACCTGCGTAACCGCCAGCCGCATACCTAGGCTGGCTGGTAAACTAGAATCGCTGACCTGCCGTTAACCCGCCTACCTACCTAAAGCCCCATGCCTCGTGATCGACAAGCGAACTGAAGTTCTCTGAGAACATCGATCTCAGCCCACAGCCGAGATCCTGGAGAAAGGGATGCTCGCAGCGATAGAGCGTATGTCTCCTTGGCTTCATGCCCATCGCAGTATCCTAGCAGTTAGTGATGAAGCAACGCTAATAGGACGCCGTCCTATGCTGCAGCCTGCGGTTTGAGCTAGGTGAGCATGCTACCGTATGTGATGGGTTGAGCAAGTGTGAGACTGGAAATGCCTGCCGGTAGTGTGCGTTTTGAGCTCAGGTCGATGCCGAATGGATCGCTCCGGAGCCGTCGGGGTGCTTGAGACGCCAGGTGGTTTGAGCATGCGGATGCTGGACCCCATGGCTGGCGCTTGAGCTCAGGTGACAGCCAATGTGAATTGCCGTCGCGTAAAGTTCTAGGTTAAGGTGGTGCCCTGGCAGAGGGTTGAGTAGCGATGCGTACCGCGCACATTTTGGCGCTATTGAGCAAAGGCTCATGACGCAATGGCATGCTGGCGTACCTGTAGTTGGGTACTTGAGCAGGGTGCAGCAATGGATGCTGGGCGTGGTAACCCTTCTTAATCACGGCTATGGCCTCGTTGAGCAGGTTGAAGCATGGATGCTAGAAAGCGCAGGTGAGCCTCCCAGCGCACTCGCGGCTGTGGCAGGTGAACCGATATGATGCTGGCGGGCAGTGGGTTTAGAGCAGCGCAGCATGGATTGCTATGTCTCGTATAGCGGCAGCGTTGACGACTGGTAGTGGCTGGGATATGGGTTTGCAGCTCGCGTGTGGAGATGCGATGCTGGTGTGAGTGGTTGAGCAGGTGAGCCATGGTCGCTGCGAGTGTGGTAAGTTGGCGTTTGAGCACGACGTGAGATTGATGGATGCTGCGGTGTGAGTGTTGAACGCAGGGTAGTGGATGCGGGTATGGGGTTTGAGGCGAGGTTGATGATGGATTTTGTGGGCTAGTGGGTTCTGCAAGCAGCGGAGATCGGATGCTGGTCTCCCGCTTCCTCCGCGTAGGTTGACGCGGTTGAGCATGGGAGCTGAGTGATGGATGCTGTATCAAGTGGCGTTTGAGCATGCTGAGGATGGCATGTCTGCCCCTGGTAGTGGCGCTTGAGCCAGGGTGAGCATGGCTACATGTTACACTGCTGGCAGGTGAGATGGAGTGGCTGGGCGTAGTGGCGTATTGAGCAGGGGTGAGAGATGGATGCTGCGCGGCGTGCGGTTTGGAGCGATGGTGAGAAATGGATTGGCTGGGGGTAAGTGGGTCGTTGCAAGCAGGTCTCCCCTCTGTCGTGAGCGGCATGGAATGCTGCGGTAGTGGTTTGAGCAGGCTGAGATGGATGCCTGGCCGACGTTTCCCTGCAGGCGATGGCAGTTTGAGCAGGTGAGATTAGGATGCGTCGGGGTGGGTAGTGCGGTCCTTACTTGCATGCATATGGTGAGATGCTGATGTTTCGGGCGTGGTGCTTGAGCAGCGGTGCAGCATGGCATGTCTCTGGGTCAGCCGTGCACCGATAGAGTGCTGCGGCGCCGGTAGTGGGTTTGACAGTGAGCATTGTTGATGCTGAGGCCGCTGGGTTTGAGGCCGTTGAGAGTGGGTCATGCTGTATGGTAGTGGAGCTTTCGAGACATGTGAGATGGATGCTGCGGTAGTGGGTTTCTGCAGCGGTGAGATGGGGATGCCCTGATGCGGGTAGGCGCCTGGTTTGAAAGCAGTTGAGCAGTGGATGCTGACCGGGTAGAAATGGCCGTTTATAGCGAGGTTGAGCACTGGATTGCCTGGGGGTAGTGGGTTTGAGCAGGTGAGGGATGCGCATGCGCGGCGCGCGTGGGTTTGCAGGCATGGTGAGGAATGGATGCTGCGGCTAGTGCGGTTTCATCATGAAGGCAGCGTGACGATGGCTAATGGCTGTGAGAGTGGCCGGTCCTGTTTTGAGAAGAGTGATATGGCAGCTTCGTCCTGTTTTTTCTCACTCTAACTTCTTCTCGCCGGGTAGCTGGGTAGTTGAGAAGCGTGAGTAGGCATGCCTATGGAGCTGTGGGTTTGAGAGGTGAAGGCGATGATGCTGGCGCATCGGGTCCGCGTATGGGGTAGTGTTGAGATACAGGGTGAGAATTGGCTGGATCTCACGTGTGGCGTGACGGTGATTCGTAGAAATTGAGTGAGTATGGTGATCCCGTCATGATGTCGGCGGTAGTGGCGGTTTGAGTGCGAAGGTGAGGACAGGATTGCCTTGGGAAGGTGAAGGTATGGATGGCATGGGAAGCCGTGAAGATATGGGATTGATGGGACAGTGAGATGAGATGATGGGAGAGATGAGGATGCGTATGGATGCGGCGCAGATGGGTTGAAGCAGAGTGTTGAGATTGGTAATGAATCGGCGGGTGGTAGTAACTGCGCGTATTGAGAAGAGAGTGAGATGGATGGGCTGGGTTAAGAAAGTGGAGATGGATGGCTGGGACTCAGTTTTGGAGAAGGATGAGCATGCGTATGATGCGTAGGCCCGGTCTTGAAGAAGGGTGAGATGCGATGAATGGACTGGAGATGGGAATTGAGGCAGGCGGTCGAGCGATCTGGAATGTCTGAGTGAGTTGGGTTTGATGAAGAGGTGAGATATTGGGATGACTGGCCGCCGGTAGTGGTGTTGAGATAGGGTAGAGCTTAGCGATGAATTGGGTCGGAGTAAGGGTGGATTAGCATGAAGGGGTAAGTGGGTGGTTGCTTAGCGTAGCTTGGTATTCGAGTTCGAGTGGGTTGCACGGATCGGTGTGGAGTTACGAACGATGAGATGGAATGCATGAGGTTCGATATGGTGAGCATGAGATGCATGTCGGGGTAGGTGGTTCGCGGTTACGAATGGTGAGATGGAATGAATGAGCAGGTGGCACGGTGTGGCTTCGAGGTTGTAGCGAAGCGGTGAGTATGCGGGTGCGGGGTTTAGAGTGGTAATGAGGTAGAGGGGTTGAATGAGTATGAGATGCTGATGG